CTTTATGTACAAGTCAGAAGAAGAACAAGTATTGGTTTTATAAGGAACATGTTTTCTTTAGTGGTCATGTAATGTAAGCTATGTAGGATGCCATGTAGACCCTTAGAACTGGGGTCTTGGAAGCCCATTTTAAAGGTCATCTGGCTCTGCTAGAGAACCCTTGCTTAAAGTGTACAAGGTCCTGGATTCCATCCCTGTACTACAAAATACATAAACACACACACATGAATATATACAGAGGGTCATGTGTGATACTGTAATTCCTTATCTGGACACAGAAGCAGAATTCAGTGACTCTCTCAAACTGTTTACAAAAGTGAGAACTTTTGTATAGTTCTCTTATGTATAGCTTTGCATAGCTAAATATTTGAGGATGCCTGTCAGATGCACACTGCCCGTCTGATTAGTGCCTCTTTATTCTCACACATAAAGACCCCAAAGCTGTTCGAGTTGTACAGACTTGTCCAAAAGCTTGAATGGGTTCTCAGAAATGCAGTTAGGGACTGAGGAGATGGCTCAGCAGTTAAAGTAAGCTTGCCTTTACAGAAACCCATGTAAATGCTGGGTTGTTGTGATAGCCTTCCTGTCACCCTATCCAGTGAGAGTAGAAACATGAAATCCCCCAAGAAAGCTGCCTAACAAGGCTAGCCATATCAGCAAGCTCTGGGTTTGAGTGGAAGACCCTTCCTCAATGACTACATACCTGTAAAACATGCATACACACATGTACATGCAAAGTGGAGAAAGAAAGAAAAAAACAGCTTTCCCTGTGATTGTTTCTTTAATACTGTTAGGATGAAGAGGCTACAGTATCCAATGTGACTTTGCAGCTGGAAGGGTTCATTCAGCATTAGAAAAGACCTGGCCAAGTTCTTCAACAAGTGCCATGCTGATTTCCCAGAGTACTCATCACCCTCAATGTATCTATCTACCATCATATTCCAGAACAGTACTTAAAAAAAAAATCTAGGAAGGGTGTTAACTCATTCATAGTTCTACAGGAAGGAAGGCTCTTTCCTGCTCTTTTTAAAGCATGACTTTCACTGACAAGATCAGACCAGAAAAGGCCTCTCTGGCTGTAGGCCCAGACAATTGGACTTGCACTCAGCTTACGCTGCCCTGGAGCAGCCTCAACAGAACAGAGCACAGGTGCATGCTGGGTGATCCAGCACTAGCCAATGTTTATGCTCTGTATTCTTGGCTGTATTTTTTTTTTAAGCATTGGAAAGGAAATTTTAAACTACCAAGGAATTTATGGGTTTTTCTAGAAGAAAAGGTTTAAAAGGGGGGGCAGCCTATTTTATTTACAGCTGTGTCCCCAACAACTAAATAAGGTCCAGTTCAAGTCATTATTGAGTGATGGGGAAAGACTTATCCCTCCCCCTCCCTCTCTCCCCCTCCCTCTCTCCCCCTCCCTCTCTCCCCCTCCCTCTCTCCCTCTCTCTCTCTCTCTCTCTCTCTCTCTCTCTCTCTCTCTCTCTCCTCCCCCCTTTCTCTTCCTCCCTCTCCCTCCCTCTTCTCCTTCCCTACCCCTCCTTTCCCTCCTTCTCCTCCTCTCTCTCCTTGGTTTTTCCAGATAGGGTTTCTCTGTGTAACAGCTCTGCTGTCCTAGGGCTTGCTTTGTAGACCAGGCTGGCCTTGTGTTCACAGAGATCCACCTGCCTCTGCCTCCTGAATGCTGGAATAAACGGTGTGTGCCAACACATCCGGCATCAGTTTCTTACTTAAAACATCAATTGAAATTGCATGCAACCTATAGATAAATTTTGGAATAATTATCTTAGTAACATTGAATATTCTAATCTACCAACGTGGTCTAATTATTTAGATTTTCTTTAATTTCTCTCAAGTGTTGTGTTTTCTAGTGAAGAATTCTTTGCTTATTTTTATTTCAGGTTGTGTTTGACTTTTATAATGTATTTCAAGTAAGAGAGCTTTTGCTGTTTATTATATGGTAGCAATTGGTTGTTTTTTTTGTGGTTTTTTTAAATACTAAACTTGTACTGTGTGGTCTTGGTATAGTTTTTTTTTTTTTTTTTTTTTTTGGTTTTCCGAGACAGGGTTTCTCTTGTGTAGCTTTGCGCCTTTCCTGGATCTCACTTGGTAGCCCAGGCTGGCCTCGAACTCACAGAGATCCGCCTGCCTCTGCCTCCCGAGTGCTGGGATTAAAGGCGTGCGCCACCACCGCCCGGCTTGGTATAGTTTTATACTTTTTTTTTTTTTTAAGAATTTCCATATAACTCTGTCTACTGAAGTTTTTTTAATGTACTTTTTCACTACATGTTCTGTACTCCCTCTTTCTTCCTTACTGCTCTTTTAGAATCTCCAGTATAAGAGATGGTAGATAGCATTCAGTATTTCAGTGTTAAATATGCTGCTGGCTACAAGTGTTCAGTAAGGAAATATCTTTTGTCATAATAAAGATCCCTTCTGCTTTCAGTTTGTTGAGAGTTTACCATCATGAGTAAGTCTTGAATTGACTGTCAAGTGCTTTTCTCTGCACATATCAAAATTATCCTAGTTTTCTACTTTTTTAATCAATAACATGAAGTACTCTGATTAAATTTTAAATATTAACCCAGCCTTTGTTTCTGGAGATAACTTGTGGTTTTGATTATTTATCTGTTTTGTAAATCAGATTCTGTTTGACAATATTTTGAAAATTTGGGGGTCTATATTGATGAATGCCATTCTGTAATTTTCATCTTTGCCAAGTTTGAGGTTAATAGCCTAACCTTATAAAACAATTTAATGAGTATGCCTCTTTCTATGTCCTGAAATGGTTGTATAATTTTAATGTTTTATTTTTGGTTTTGGTTTTTATTTTTTGGTTTTGTTGTTGTTTTGTTCTGGGCATTGAAGCTCGCTTTCATTTCGCTTAACATGGGGCTTACTAAGTTATCCTGGCTAGTTTTAGACTTCTTCTGTAGTCTAGATGGGCCTTGAACTTCTGTGTGCTGCCCTGGCTTCCATTGCTGATGATACCAGCAGCAAGAGTATGATATTTTTAATGGTTTTGAAAGGGGAAGGAGTCTGCTTTTTTTTTTTTTTTAATTATTTAATTTCCGGTGCTTTTCATTTCTTGCTGAAGATTTTATTTTCTACTTTTTATCATTTGCCTTCAATCTGAAAGCTTACTGGCCATTTCTGTGACATAGATCTCCTGGAACCTTTGTTGTTGTTTTTCTTCTATCTGAAAATAACCTTATTTATCGTTCATTATTGAAGGCTATTTTTTGTTAGGAATAGGATTTTGTGATACATATTTTTGTTTTAGCACTTTAAAAATGTTGCTCTGCTGATAACTGCCTGTGTGTTGGGTTGGAGAGTTATTAGTTGTTTACCACTCTACTTGGCAGTGTGAACGTAGGAGAGCCGGGCCTAAAAGTGAGGTTGTCTAAAGTCTCAGCCAATAGCCAACTTTATTCAGAGCATCAGACAGTTTATACTCTGATGGTTACAATACAAAGAGTCACTCGAGTAAAGTGTAGATTCTCAAGGACAGCTGCATGTGTCAAGAACAAGTTATTCCATAGAAGCATATGCATAATAGCTGAAATAAATTCACTCTTATCTGCTGCACCTGGGAGGAGCATGAAAACCCACTCCAAGAGCAATTCTGTGTTTTGAGGAAACTGAGGTCACGCCTTGTTTTCTTGGAATTTTCTCACAAGTGCTCAGAATACCTCTCAAACAACTCCATTCTTGGACAGTGTTCTGACAGTAGTGATTCCAGTGGTTCCAGTGTGCACCTGTGTTCAAGGTACTCTTGAGTTTGAGATGTTAGCAATTTGACTGAAACAACTTTTGTATCCTGTTGCAGCTTCTTGATCGTGAATGTGTTTTGCTTGCCTATTTGGGGAAACTTTGAGGCCCTTGGTTGCACGGATTTTTTATTTATTTATTTATTTATTTATTTATTTATTTATTTATTTATTTATTTATTTTTTGGTGCCAAATTTTCTAGTTGTTTATATGTGTGTGTGTACATATATATGTATATGTGTATATATATATATATATATATATAGTTCCAAAAGAATGCTTTTAATGTAAATTTTATCACTCCATATTTCTACAGTGTGTCTGTGTGTCTTTCTGACCTCACTTCTTACCTCTTGTTTCCTTTATTCACTGTGCTTCAGATCTGTTGGGTTTCTTTCTTTTCCACCATGTGCCGCTTGCTTTCCTTTGTACTGGATCTTATCTTTCCTTGAGTTGTCTTCCCACATCTCTGTGTGTGGCTACTTTGGGTATCTATATAAATTACCTTCTGAGCAAGGCTTTTCTGACTGTTCTATCTACCCTATTTCCTCAAAAGACATACATCTATTTCAGTTTCTTTATTGAGATAGTCATATACCATAAAATCCACTCATTTAAAACATCTTGCTCCTATGTATGTGTAATTGTTACCACATTAGTTTTACACATCTATGCTTTACACATTTATTATTTTTCATAATACCAAAGCTGTCTAGTGAGTAACATGTGCTCAGTAAACTTCCTGAGTAAGTTAGTTCATTAGGTCTGGCATAATATATTGGAGGCATTAGCCTCCAATAAAATGCTAAAAAAACATTCAACTAAGTTGATCTCTGGGCCTGTTCCCTTATCATAGCTGTGCTATTTTTAAGGCTCTCTGAAACAGCAAATAGCCTAATATGTATTTTTAAGAGTTATTGAAGGAAGTTTTTTTTTAAATATGTGGGTTTTTCATATAAGTACAAGTCATACATTTCCTTAAATGTTATCATTTTCTACTTACCTTGGCAGATGTACAGAAAGAGAGTTTCCTAAAACTACTGTTTTCCTATCTTCAGAAATCAACTAGACACTGTTTATATCTTGAAATAGATTATAGAGTAGCTAGTTCTTGTCTTATTTGTTAATTGAGGATAATAGTTATGTGGATATTTCTGAAAAAGTACGTGCTCTTTTTCTCTGACTGCTTTTGATATGGAATGTCATTTCTGAGCCTCGCTGTTTCATCTGTATAGGCTTTGCTGCGGCCTGGAAGAATTGATAGGATCATTTACGTGCCCTTACCGGATGCAGCAACAAGAAGGGAAATACTGAACCTACAGTTCCACTCGATGCCAGTCAGTAATGAGGTTGATCTGGATGAACTCGTCCTCCAAACTGACACTTATTCAGGAGCAGAGGTAAGATAATTCCCCAAAATGCAGGTGTGGCTCAGAGGTGAACACATGCTTAGCATGCAAAGGGTCCCGGGTTCAGTCCCCAAGCACACACCATACCTCACACACCCCACATTCCCCAAAAAGAAAAAATTGTGGTGGAAGGGAAGCAGTAGCTCATAAACAGAAGCTGCTTGCTAACACCTGTTTTAAATTACTGTGAACCATCAACTCTTAAAACAAGAAACCACTAAATCACATTACACTTTACTTGACCTCTGTTGAATCTCATTGTTTGTTACCTGGCTCTGATGATTTTTTCAAACTGGTCTTCAGTGTACCATATAACACAGTGGGAGGAACACTGTTACTCGAGGAAGCCGACTCAATTAGGCTCTCTGACTCCAGTTTCTAGCTAGTCAGCTAACATACTTGACTGAATTTTGGTTCCTTTTGTTAAATTACCAATTGGAAGAGTAGAATAGATTTTTCAGCTATTTTCTAGTGGATATTAGGATATCATAGACATAAAGGACTTTGTAAAGAAATAGTATTATTTTTTATCATTGTGGACAATTTCAACTATTCTGATCTACTTTTGATCACAAAGATTATCTCAAAAAACAGTGAAAGAGACCATCTGCTCTTAACCTTGAATGAATTCTTGGCAATAACTGCAAGACCTAAAAGCCCAAGACCACATTTATGTATGGAAGATAAGCATTTTTCCTCTCCTTAGAAAATCTTCCTGTTAACAAGTAATTGTGTAACTTTTCTACATGCACCACCACCACCCCCCAGTACTGGGAATTGAACCCAGGTCCTCATGCACACTAGGCAAGGACTTTACCACTGAACCACATCCCCAGACTCACATATATATATATATATATATATATATATATTAATTAGATGTCTTATGAAAAGTATATGCCATATACTGCAGCACAGAATTAGCTTCAAAATACCACTGAAGTGGATTTTACTAGTAATTTAATACTTTAAGAAATTATATATTCTTTTGATTGTGGGTTGCTAGTAGGCAGGAGTTCAATACTCTGTTTTATCTGCTATTTTCATCTAACTTTTGTAAAAACCGAAGTGATAAACACATAATTAGGCAAATTTCCATAGAGTTGTCTTTAGTGTCTCATGCAGTCATAGCAAATATCACCATAAATGTCACATCTACTTAATGCTTTGTCTTACAAGCTGTGGAAAGCAGCTTAGGAAGCAGTTGAGTGCACTGACCTTAGTCCCATTTGAAACAGCAGTCTTTATGATCACCCCTTTGCATGGTCATAAAGTCAGAGTGAGCATGTAGTTAATATGATAGAGTACTCCAGCATTTCTAAATGGGCTGGCATTGAGTATATAACATGTCAAGTTATAACAAAGAACAAGGAGAAGAAACTATAAATCCCTCATTTGAGCAAAGTGGAAGAGTAGTTAACAGGGTGTTAATGTGCCTTTCATATTGAACTAATTCATGATAGTCAGACTTTACTATAAAACAGAAGTAAATGCATGTCAGATTTAATCTGGCTGGGAAAAAAAGTTGGCTCCAGCAGTTGTACTAGCTAACAAGTGCTCATATAGTACATGTTTTATTCTGTCTAAAACATAAGCACATTTGTGATCAGTTTTCATATCCAATTTTCTATAAATTGCCACAGAAAAACAATAGTAAATTCTATGTTTCCTGAGTTATATTATGATGTCCCACAGTGCTCAGGCTTTGGGAAGGCCACCCTGACCTCATTTAGGTATATATTATAACTTCTAAGGAATAGTAATTTTACCTCACAGTGTGCCCTCTTAGTTCTGAGGTATCCATTTTGGAAGAGACTGGCTTCTTCCACAATGGGGTATTTGGTGGGATGGGAAGGTAGGTTGTCTGTCTGTCTGTCTGTGTGTCTGGTTGGTTGGTTGGTTGGTTGGTTCAAAAGTTAAGCAGTTCACAGATGTATTTAAAAAGAAATATTTTTTAAGTTTTAAAACTGATAAACAGGAAATTTAACAGTCAAAATTTGAATGTAGACCAAAATGTAAGATCTCATCTTTCTCTTTCTCTCTCTTTTTTTGTCTGTCTTTTCATCAGAATGACAACAGTGCTACAGTGTTTGAAGGCCAAAATTAGGTTTGATTTTTTTTTATAGTAAAATGAATTTAAGATGATAACCTCAGTCATCTGATACTGCAGACAGTACTTTGTGAACTCTGTTGTGATTGATTTTCTCCCTAGGGTAAGGCCATGGTACAGTACAGAATGTGTTTACAGATGCTTGCTAAAGTGGGAGGGGGAAAAAAGGCTTCCGCTTGTCAACGGGAGCTGCCCAATGAAATTTGAACTTACATAAGATTGATTGTATTTGACTGTGTATCATCCACATGAGAGGTGGAGATGAGAAAATTCCTGACACTTAAGTTGCATTTTTGAAAATGTTTAAATACTGTTAACATTTTCTTCTTTTCATTTCTAATTAAACAGTATAGCTGTGGTTAAAGTGAAGATGCTTCTCTTTTAGTGACTGGGATTGGGCGAGGTTCCTTTGAAACAAGTGTCTGTCTTCATTTGCCCAATCAGTGTCGTTCTGTGAAAGCCTTGTCATGAAGCAGACCCTGTAACTCCTCTGAGACACTCATTTTCCCTCCTGGAGAGGACATACAAAATGAAGCCTGTTGGAAGCCACAGGAGGATCCTAGAGGAAGTGCTAGCACAGCAGTTCTCAACCTCCCATCTCCTGCCGGTTGAAAGACCCTTTCACAGGGGTCCCCTAAGACCATTGGAAAACACAGAGATTCACAGTACAGTTTGTAACAATAGCAAAATTACAGTTACGAAGTAGCAATAAAAATAATGTTATGGTTGGGGGTCACCACACAAGGAGCTGTGTTAAAGGGTCCCACCGTTAGGATGGTTGAAAACTACTGTGCTAGCAGAAGGAAATGGGACATGGTCAGCTGTCTGGGAGTCTGTCTCCAGCTGCTAAGTTCCTCTGGAAGGGTGTGTTGTTTATCTTTTGGCTGCCCTCAGGTTCATGGGACAGTGTTGCCTTAAGCAGATGGAAATTAAGCTTGGAAGGAAGAAATGCTTTTCCTGTGGGGGCGGAGGGTCGAGCTGTTTTCTTTCGCTTTGATTTTGTTTAAAGTTGGTTTGTAGCAGTCAGCCATTCTTTTATGAAGTTATTTGGCTAGTTTTGGAAACCTTTTATCTCTGACATGTAAACTAGAGCTGACCTCCTTTGCTGTTTGTGATAAGAGATGATTTCCTCTGTTTTTGGAAATGGCTAGTGCAGACCAAAGGCCACTGGCTTTGTGGCATTGGTTGAGTTCTTACTTGTGTTTAGATGTCACCTTCTTTTCAGTGGTTGTCCCAGTAAGGGGCATTTGTAAAAATGGTTTCCCAAGTTAGAATGGCTTCTCAAGGTTTTTCAGGTTGATTGATGGTAAAAATGATAAGCACTTAGTAGAAGCCACAAAGCATGCTTCCAGTCTTAAGTTTTGATTATTTATTCATTTGCTTAATCTGCTATGGGGTTTTTGTTTCTCAAAACAGGATCTTGCTATATAGTCTGGTTGGCCTGGCCTGGAACTCATTATGTAGCCGAGGATAGCTCCAGGGCATAATAATTCTGCCTTCCAGTGCTTGAATTGCAGGTGTGAGCCTCACTATAGGCCTGACTTGATCTTTCCCAGGCTGAAGCTAGCACTAAGCTCCAGTTACCCTCTCTGAGGTTCTGAGCTCCCAGTCACCCAACAGATCACAGGTTTGAACTGGTGGTTCATGGACTGCCCAGCTGTTAACAGGTAGCAGCTTAGGTGGACTGACTGGGTGACAGACATTTTTCAACCCTATCACTGTGACACTGTGATAAGTTAGGGAGCATCTGTATTTCTGAGTCAAGTATCAGCTGTTTGTTTTGTAAATACTAGAGACAGTGTTTATCAAGATTTACAGCTTCAACTTTCTTCAGAGATAATAAAGTGGCAGGATGGCTTGTGAAAGTTTGGATGTTATGTTACCTATGAGTTGACTCTGGCTTCCAGTGGATGTTATTAACTCCTTGTTCCCTCATTTATAAAAATTGTTTTGAGGCTTAAATGGGATAACAAATGTAAGAGCATGAAGAAGCAAGCCTGGCTCTCAGTAGAGGGCTTCCTTTTGCTCATTCTGCTGCTTCTCAGTTTAGTATTTGTATCAACCGCTAAAATGTGAAATGATATTGTTACTACATGGTAATATATTTCATGTTGACACATACCTAGACAAACTTTTCTGAAAATGATAACTATTCGCATCATTCACTTTATAGTTTTTTAAAGCTTTAACTTCTTTAATAAGCTGTTTATCCTTGTTTTGATATTTAAATGATATATCTTATCTAAGAATCTGTTTTGTAGTTTATGCTCCCCTGGGGTCTAATAAAGGTTCCTTAAGTTTCCATACCTACTTTACATGGGTGGGGGCCTCAATGGGTGGGCCTCATTATTTCAAGATGGTTCTGTTCACCATGAATAAACTGTGGTAGCTGCCAAAAGGAAAGCCTGGAGTTACTTTCTGTCTCACTGATGTTCCTGTTAGCCTCTTTCTCATAGAGTGAAAATAGGAACAGTTAACTGCCAGTCGGAATAGATGTACTTACCCTATCAGAAGTCTCCTGTGGTAGCACCGCTTACCACATTTAAGTCAGAACCCATGTCTGAGAACCTGGGATGCATTTACTGTTCTTCTGACCAGTCTGCCTAACAACACATCTAAAATTGAAACAAGAATTGAGCATCAGGACAGGAAAGCCTTTGTGTGTCTCAGGCTGTCCACTTGTGCTAGTAGAAAACAGCTGCCTTCAGGGCCCATCTCCGCAACGCTCAAAACACATCACTGCAACACCCATCAGCCCTCTCTCTGAATCTTCTCCCAGCCCTGGGAAAGAGCCCTGTGAAGATCCACTGCCATAACCAACCAGCTTTCCATTCACATTTGAGATCTCCTGTAATCCTGTCTGTTCTTCCTGGAGCTTTTA